AGCTTATCAATGCTTTCTGCCTCCAGCCCTATGGTTTCTAGCACTACTTACATGCTGATTTACAATTTTATATTTGTGCTGACTTCTCTGCAGATCTCTCAGATGCATGTCTAAATGTCAACTTGACACCTCTACGTGGACATCTGACAGTCTCAAAGTGATTATGCCCCAAATGGACCTGTTTCTGTCCAACTCACATCTCCCGTCCCTATTTTACTGTCTAGCTCAAAAAATGGAAGGGAATTCCCCCAGCAATTCAAGCCAAAACCCAAGAGTTATGTTGAATTTCTTCCTTTTCTAAATGCACTAGCGAACTTACTTCCAAAATAATCCCATTTTCCTTTTTCCTTTCCATACTACTGATGGCATGAAGTCTCAACAACCGTCATCATTTGTCTAAAATTCTCTCTGCAAAAGATTGGTCTCCCAGCTCTTATTAATGCCTTCTTTTATCTGTTTTCTTTGCAGGAACTAGTTTCACTTCCTTGCTTAAAGGCTGTTGGTGGCTTATCATGGTCAGTGTTAACACCTAAGTTTGTTTACATGACAACAAAGCCACACAGAGTTGGTTCAGGCTAGGCCTTCACCCTAGTCCCACACTGGACTTCCTTTCTGACCACGGTCTAGTCATGTAGATGTCTTTCAATTTCTCCAGTACCATGCAATGTTTTTTCTTTCCTCTGGTTCTCTCCTTGGCAATGATCTGCCTCCAGTTCTTTATGCCTCACTCCTTAGTCAACAGTTCTAAACTCAAGAATTACTCCTAGAGAAGCCTTGTCTATTCTATGTAAACTCCTCTTTCCCCCTTTTCTTCCTAGTTATATTGCTGTGTTATCCTATTTCTTTTAAAACATGTACCATACCCTGTAATATCCTTACTCGTTTGTTTACCATCATCCCCAAATCAGACTCCTTAAGGGACATGATCTTGCCTTGCTACTTCAGTACTATCTATCTCTCGCTTAGCAGTGCCTAGTACCTGGGAGGCTATCAAAATATTATTGATAGAATAAAAAAAAAACCTGGCAAGATGTTGAGAATCACTTGGATGATTCTTCTTGAAAGAGCAATTATCTCCATTCTGGATAAACTTGGCTCTATGTCCATGTACTGATACATGCAGAGCTGATTACGCCATGCCTTTGCTCCTTCAACTGGCATTATGAAATTTAAATTGGGCTGGCTGGGAAGTTGATGTGTAATCTTTGAAGCAGGGCACAGTCACTGGTTCCCTGCTCAGTGACTCCCAGAAAAATATGGTTGAGCGGGGTGGGGTGAAAAGCCGTGCTTCACACTGCACCACGCTGTCCCCAGGTCTGAATGGAGTCTCAAGAGGCTATGATTTCCCAAGGAAGAAAAGACTATACATCAAAGCTGAAGCACCAAACCCAAAATATTAGATACTAGCTCAGTTATGTTATGCAGATTACTCTCTCTGCATTTCTTTCCCTCTACATATTGCAGACCTCTGCGATCTCTGCGATCTCAGGACTCCTACGTAGCCCAGCTCAACTGCACTAGCACTCATGTATTTCTCACTGTCACTCAACCCCAAGCCACTCCCCTCATGGAGAATTAGTAACACCTGGGCTGGGCTCTGAGTCATGGCCTTTGTTTCAGTGATCCTTCATCCTGGCTGGACTCAGGACCCCTTAACTCCCCATAACTATATACATGTCTTAGTGTCTTTACTCTCAGCTCGGTTTGCACTGGAAACGGTAGACTGGAATTCCAGTATCTTTTCCATGGGATTACAAATATAAACTTCCCAGGGGACAAGCCTCTCTCCTCCATGAGTCAGCACCATTTGTGGACTGTGTGGTAGTAGGGAGTGGGGAGACCAGGCCTCACAAGGAGGTGGTCCCCACCTGGAAACCAGAACCATACTGGAGTGGGGTCAGCCAGACCCAAACTTCTCTCCATGAGTGAGTGCTATTCGCAGACTGCAGGGAGGGGGTGGGAGACGGGATCAGGCCTCACCAAGAGGTGATCTCCATTTGGAAACCGTATCATTTTCACTGTTTTGTTGGGTTGGGTTTTATTCTCTTTTGTTTTGTTTGATTTTATTAAATCAGATGGCATGAGCAGCTATTCAAAAGCTAGCAATTATAGTAGCTATTTGGATTTACTATTGGCTTGTTTTGAAGTACATTATTGTATTCATTGTTTGGTTTTGTTGTTTCTATTCTATTCTGTTCTGTTCTAATTTTACTATGACTAAAGGTATCTGCAGCTTTTTTTTTTTTTTTTTTGTCTTTTTGAGATAGGATCTTGCTATGCACTTCAGGCTGGCCTTGAGCTCACTTTGAACCCAGGCTGATCTCAAATTCAGGCAGGATCCTCCTGCCTCAGCTTCCCAAGTGCTGGGATTACAGATATGCTTGGATTACAGCCATCATGCCTGACTTTTTGTTTGTTTTTGCCTCTCCCTCTTTTTTATCTATGGTGCCAGGGATCGAACTCACAACCTCGTGCTTGGCAGGAAGATGCTTATGCCGCTGAGCTAAAGCCCTGGGACATTCTGCAGCTATTTTGAAGACAACAAAAGGCATCATGATAACTATTACTGATTTTGTAAAGTTTTGAAGTCCTGTATCACTTATACTAGTTTATTTTGTTTGGTTTTATTGTTTTATTTTCCTTGGTTTTATGCTGTTTAAAAAAAAGATTCTCAGTCTCTCTCTTTTTCCTTTAACAACCCCCCCACCCCCACTTATGCTCAGACAAAAACAATTGCTGCTGGGAAACAGTCTGAAATCAAAAGTACATTGAAACAAAGCAAATTTTACCTAGACTTTTCATTTGGAACTTTTGATACAAGTTTAGGGAAAGCTTTATGCAAAGTTTAAGAAACTGGCCACCCCAAGTCATCGAATCATTTAACTCACTCTTTGAATTCTGCAATCTGACCAGATTTCACATGCAAACTGAAGCACTTTGGACAGAGAACAAGGAAACTATAATGCTTCACGTTTCTCCATTATAAACTTCATTTTAACCAGAGGATAAGGCTAAAATTCATCATCTAGAAATGACCACGCAGGTATGATAAAAAGCAGAGTATGCTAAGTTTCCATTTCCCTTTCCAATTCTCAAGAATCTCACATTCTATAATAGACTTTATTCATCTTGATCTCCTTTTCATCAATAAAATGTCAGTGTTAAAAGCCTGTAACAACCAGGAAATAATTTTAAGCAATTTTGACTTTCCTGTTGAGAACTATTCTGGCCCAGTAGACAGGAGGAACAAGAAGCAGGGAAACTTAATAAAATCCTTCTCTTTACAATGCCAGTTTGGAGCTACTCCAAAAGCAAGTCTTTTAGGGTTTGTGTGTGTGGTATAAAGATTAAGGGAAGGCAGTATGTGTAAGGGTAAATGGAAAATGCTTACAGTGGTCTCTATTGACTTGTCCAAGTATGACCTGAACTCTACCAAACACATATACATATACCAAAAAGGTAAAAATAAAAGCATGGAGGAAGAAAGAAATGGAGCATATGCAAAGGAAACAAGGCTCCCTGGATATAGGAAATGAGATGACACACAGATGAGGGATACAAAGAAAAAGAAGAATAAGAGAAAAGCTGGCTTTCAGATATAATTTAGTAGCATAAATGCAAAAGGGCTAAAATGAAATGTGTGATTAAAAATAGTGAATATTTAAATTAAAAAATTTTACCATAGCAAAAGACAAATTGCCATTAATTACCTAAAAAATGCTCCCTTTTACTTTAAACATGTCTATCCCATTTTTCTTGTTACTTTTTGAAGCAATTTGAAAGTCTTACTTTGTACCTTTTTGTAGCTGCCTCAACATCTTGGATTAAGCCAAAAAATGTTTACAATAATTTTTGTCAAATAAAAACATTACAGTGTGTCCTTACATATCTTACTCAGTGGATCTGGCAATGTGAGACTTCAGACTCTTGCCCAAAGTCAAAATGACCATGAAAGGTAAATATTTGAATTAATTCAGAACATCAAGGCAGCATAATATAGTTCAACTAGACATTTACAGAAGAGGACTTCCAGAACTGCTTCAGAATGTGGCAAGAATAGGGTAAGTAAGTTCAAAGTGAGGAGGATTAATGACAGTGTATCTTTTACTGTACAAACAAGAAAAAGAAAAATCACTATTATTTTTATTACACCACACAGATATTCTTTCAGCAGAAAAAACTTGTATTTTTGAGCAGAAAAAACTACACTGAATTCCCAACTTAGGAACATTTGAGTTGTAACTTTTACAGGTACAAATGGACCTAGTATCTAGGACTACAAATGAGTATCTGTAGATGTGAACAAGTTGGTGTATAAGAATCACTTTTTTGGACTTGAAAATGAATCCAACTTAGGAATGTGCTCCTGGAACAGAACGTGTCCATAAATCAGGTACTTGTTGCATTTTAAAATTCCATATGTAATTTGAAAAATTATGCATATCAATACAAATTTATTTCATTTTACTTCATAATAGCTTTTGCAGAAATCCAGAGACCAGTAATAACAGAAAGCAGCAAAAGCAAACAAAAAATAACTATTCCTCTATTTATAATCATCTTTATATAGAGTCCATCTGACTGGCTATTAAGATAATTCCCAAAGAATCTGCATTAAAATGTTAAATTAACTACAATGAAATCATTCCTTGAATTTACAGAAGGCATGTTGAACCTTCCTAATATGACCAATGGGAGGACTCTACTGGGCAGCTATCCAAATTCTAGTAATTTTTATTTTTATTATTTATTTATTTTATTTTTGTCATTTTGAGACAGGGTCTCACTGTGCAGTTCAGCCCAGTCTTGAGCTCACTTTGTAGCTCAGGCCATTCTCAAACTTGCAAGGATCCTCTAGCTTCAGTCTCCCAAGTACAGGAGTGTACCACCATGCCCTGTTTTAGTGATTTTTTTAAAGAACAATTACTTTACATTGTTTCTACCCACATCACTCTTTTCCTCAGATTCTAATTGAAAACTACAAATATAGGCTGGCTTACCTATTTTTTTAACTTCTTCAGCAAAGTATGGGTCATTCAAATCAACATCAGGAGGAAGTTCATCTTCACTGGTCTCTTCTGTAACAGCCTTCAAGTCAGATAAAAACATATAGTTTCATTAGGAATTGTAAGACATGTATATGAAGAAAAAAATGTAGTTCAATCTGAAACTAAAAGTTTTTAAAAATGGCTGCGTCTATAAAATAACCTTGTAAGACATTCTTTTGTTTATTCAACAGATAAGAAACATTTAATGAATGTAGGAAATGATATAGCGCTTTTTGGGAGAAATGAAAATTATCATCAAGGTCATGGTTTCTGCCCTCAAAAACTTTACAATCTATTAAAGGAAATGAGATACATGGACAGGTGCATAAGTAAGAGTAATTCAGGACAGACAGTGTTAGAAGACAAAAAGGGATATAGACATTCAAAACAGGACTATTTTTAGACGAGTAATTAGTGAAAAGATGTGCTCTGATTTCTGATAAATTCAGAGATGGCAATGACTCTTGACAGCTTAAAGTTGTGCACTGTAGGTTATCTCTTAAACGATTATATAAAATCACTATTCATTGGTTAACTGAAGAAAATAATTTCTAAGATGAAATTTAAAATATACAAAAGTAATAAGCAGTGTAACAAACTGTTCTCAGCATCCACTGTCAACAATTATCTTGCTTTATCACAATCTACCTGATTTATTTATTTTTAAGTAAATCAGTCAGTTAAATGTTGCTTAATTAAATTTGAACCAACTGCTACATTTGTATAAATTATGAAATCAAGTTCACAACATATCTGAACTAAGATCATACTAACCAGGCTGAGGTTATTTCCAGAAATCTAAAACACCTCTAGATCATTTTAACAAAAATGTGTAGAATATATTAATGCTAAAAGTCATCTTGTATGCAAGAAGATCTACTAGGTCCTGAAGAATATTCACTTTGACATTAAAATCCCTTTAAGGACCAGTACTTCTAAGAATTTTATTTCACTGATGTATTAATAGAAATATGTTTTTAATGAAGATTATAGAATCCATCTTCTACTTACACATTTAACTATTATAGAGATTAAACTATATTGGTAGATTGAAATACTAAGTGCCAGGGCACATGCATAAATCTATACACTAGTCATATTCTCAGTAATAATTTCTCAGTAGCAAAGCTGAAATCACTGAGGCAAAGAGAGCAGAAATATTTTTTACTTGAAAATTCTTGAAACTTTTCTATATACAGACAACTTGTGGAGCCAAAGCTGTTGTAGTTATTAAGTCTAGTACAGAGGACTGAGTCTAGAACATATTGAAGATTCAATAAATATATTCTGAATGTTGTTGATAAAAGGAGTCTAGATTTATAGTCCAATAAAGTGGAAACTAGACATGTAATCTCAGCACTCAAGAGGGTGAGGCAGGAGGACTGTTGCGAGTTTGAGATCAGCGTGAGCTATCAAATGAGCTCAAGGCCAGCCTGAGCTGCATAGCAAGACCCTGTCTCAAAAAAGACAATATATACATATGATTATATATATATATATATATATATATATATATATATAAAAAAATGGAATGATGGTGTTTCCCTCTCACCAGGGGAAAAAAAAGAAAGAAAAAGTAAAAGCAGCTCAAAACTCTTACCATAGGAATCTTCCTTTTTGGTACCAGGGATTAAATCCAGGGCCTTGCATTTGCTAGGCAGGTGCTGTACCAATGAGCTACATCCCCAACTCAAAGCTCTTACCATTGGAAATCAAAGACTAGTTGCTAAAAGTCTGAGGGACTACTTCACTGATCCCATAAAGAACCAGTTTGAAAATCATTTTATAAACTGACAGCTTAATCATCTGTGGAGTTATTCCATTCAAAGGATTTACTGCCTATTTATTTTTTTTAAGGGCTAGCGATGGCAAGAGTACTTTACCACTAAGCTACTTCTTCGCCCTATGCCTACTTAGTTTTAAAGAAATTCCAGGAAAAAAGAGAGGTCATATGGCAATGGGGTCACAGTCTTTATTCTATTTTTAAAATTTTACTATTTCCATAAATACTGATCACAATAAAAGTATAAAAATTACTCCAAAACGACATTCAACTTTGTAGCCCTTTATTTTTATATAAAAATCACAGCTGTACTAACACATACAGACAGTGTAGAGAGAAACAATACAGAATAGTAGCAAGAACAAGGGCCTGAAAGTGAGGAGACTGCCCCGTTAGCCTGGTTGACCATGTTAGCCTGCAGAAAGAACTTGGGTTCTGGTCTCAGCTTATCTGTGGCAAGTTGGATAATAACCTCAGGCAAATTATTTAATTTGCTACAACATAAATAGAAATGGAGAGCCACATAAAATTCCAGGTTGTACCATTTATGATTATCAATGCTAACACTGTGAAGCAATGACACTACTGCCAGAATAATGTTATCTAAGTGTGTGTACAATGTTTTTAGTGGTAAAAATCCTAGTGATTGCTGCTATTACTACTGACACAAATTCTGAAAATTATCCCTAGAACAATGGAAGTCAAATGATACTTTCCATATTAACACAGAGAAAGTATTTTTGATGAAAGAATTTAATGATAATAACATATAGAAAGAGCCATGTAATACTGAAAAGATGAAAATGCAAGTTTAGAACAGAAATGTGTATCACAGATTCACAATGTTAAAAACTTGCCAACACATATATCCTTAAGTAAAAAAGTCTATAAGAACCTTTCTTTTTCAAAAACACAGGATGGAATTATACTGTGTTACATCTAGATGTACTGACTACGCTATACATTAGATGCAGGTAGCATGTTAATGTAAAATTTTAAAAGTAGTGGCCCTGGGATCTCAGCAGAACTGCGCACTCCCATGTGGCCTTTTACAAAACAACCTGCTATCTTCTTGCCTCTTGTTCCTTAAAATTGAACCAGTAAAAAGGTCTACTCCATCAAGTGGTTACGTTCTGAGATAATGGATAGTAAGCATTAGGTACTTTGTGATTAACAGTTGGCACTCAATAAATTTCAAAATTTAACCCTAATACCTTCTGGTTTTTTTTCAGTCTTTTTTTCTCTTTCTTCTTCTCTAAAAATTGTTCCCAAGGAGTCAGTTTATCTTTTCCTTCCAATCTGTTTTTTACCATCTCTTCTGCACTTTCTTTAAGACCTAGGGAAAAAACCAGTGTAGTTTAAAATGTTGTATCTCTAATCACTTAAAAGTTCACACAAACAAAAAACAAATATAATTTATGCATGTTTAATGCAATATTTGTATACACTAAGATTACAGGGAATCAACTTTTATAAAACTATTTTTTAATAACAAATGTTAAATCAACAAACACAGTAACCTGATACATGGTTAAGCCATGAAAAATATCCTTTAAGGTTGAAACTTCATTTCTTTTTACTTATTTTGAGGCCATAAGAAACATTCTGGGGTGAATAAATCTCAGGATATGACTACTAATTGATTTAGTAAAATTACCTCTACTTGCTTCTGATATCTACATGAAAGCCTATGTTCCCTGGCAACTGCAGGGACTAACAAAAACTAATTAGTAATGCAATCCTCATTGATATACCTCAGGTGGAAAGATTCTCACAATCTGTCTTCAAGCATTCTGTGAGGCCACATGGTTAAGATCAAAAAGGACCACCAACTTTGCATTTTACTTTGTACAGTTTAGTCCTGTTATTTGTTCTTGTATTTCATCTCTAAAAAACTTGCTCCTATAATGTTTCTAGGTATCTTGTACATTACATTATTCTGTAGGTCAAATGATGAATTTTGATGTTTATTAAGTCCCTGACTTAATGTTCTCTCTGGAGTTCTGAGAGAAAGTTTGTAAATCAGGTTCATTCATAATCCAACAAAGTGAATCTTACATAGAACACCTGTGAATGCTAATACAGTACATCTGTGAAAGTTTGTAACTGGGATGTTCTTAAATTGAGGACTTACTGTATCTGATACTAGCATAGAAGAAAAACAGGAGTTCAAATTTCAGCTGTGTAGCTTCCTAGCTGTGTGTTTTTAGGTAACTTATTAAATGTTCTCAGTGTCTGCTTACTCTGAATCAAAAAACAGTAATTATAAGATTATTTTTAATTTCTCAGCACTTAGAATGTATCTGGGAAAATGAGCTGGAATAACTGAGCCTCTTTTAAAAAAGAGTGCTTCAAATTATTCCGTTTATTATTATTATGTTTTTAAAAAGTTTTTATATAATTTAAATATTTGAAGCCCCACCGATCTGTGCCCAGCCATGTTCCCTGACACACTGAACCAATAAACAAACATCTATCTTCACTGTCCAAGGGGACAGCAAAGTAACTGCTTTTCCTTTATCAAGAATATTAAGAACTGGCCAGACTCAGGGACTTTTTCATACTGTCTCATTCCACTCTTGTTTGGGCCTTGAATTCCTTAATGCAAAATGAGGCTGATAATCCCTCTCACCCACATTCTCCCACCCCTCAGAACCGCTGGTTAAAGTCCAAATACGTAAAACAACTAACTGCAGGCTTTTAGGAACTGAGATGCAAAGAATAGTTCGAAACAGCTAGAATTATCTCTAAGGTCCCTTCCTTGCCTTTTAAACCAAGATTTAATCTTCACATTTCTAAGACTTATCTGCATAAGTGTATATATAATGTAAATATGCACTATATGTATATACAGATTTGTTCTTATGACAAATGTAGATTTGCTCTTATGACAAACTGCTGATAGGATCTCTAATTTATTGGATGCCAAGGCAGAAATACCACTTTCTTATTTTTTGGTACTGGAAATTGAATTCAGGAGCTTGTGCTTGCCAGGCAGGCGCTGTGCTGCTGAGCTATATCCCTGGCACCAAACATCACTTTCAGTTCAAAAATGTTTATGAGAAAAACATAATTCATTTTACTAAAATGTTTACAATATAAAACCATGTCCAAACCTCTGAATGTTTCAATAGGTAAAGAGAATGTAGGAAATGTAAACTGAGATCACTTGAGAGAAGGCAACAAATTCTGATTAAACAAGTGGACTTCAAATAACAAAATGAAATAATTCATATATAACGACTGTAAGTCAGCACATATTCCAACCTCAAATTTCAAATGCATAGTACTATATTTTATGATACTAGATCATATTTAACATCTAACATCTAATATAACATATTAGATGATATTTAAATAATTATTTCTATGGTGTTCTATTATATATTTAGAAACCTTTTATTACCTCAAAATACTAAATGTAGCAATTTTTTCATCGTAAAAGGGATTTTTTTGTTTGATTTTGATCCCTGACACTGAAAACTGTACTTCTAGGTCAGTACAATGGTACAGAAGGTTCTGTATTACCTCTTATAGGTGACTAGAGCACTAGCTGGATGTCTCAATCTTTTTTAGGGAGCTATACAGATACCTTGAGAATTTGACAAAAGCTACAGACTCCAACTCTGGAACACTGTTGAAAAAACTTGCAGACTATGTTCTGAAAGTTTTGGATATCCAGTAATCATATTAAGGATTCCAGGACCTCAGACAAAGAACACTGCCAGCAACTTAACAGTCTCAGAGATGACAGTATATCTTGTATAACTTCAGAACTTAACAGTACTGCCATTTGTAGATTCAGGGTGTGCCAACTGTCATTTTGCTGCTGCTTTGGATTCTATGATGTGAAAGGGTATCTTGTGAATTTTGAGATCTCAAAATATTTCCAGTGATGCCAGCAACCTGAGTTGTGAAAATCAAAAATGTCTCCAACATAGTCTAGGGGAGCAAGATCACCCCTACTTAAAAACCACTACTATAGATATCAGTTAGACATCATTCCTGAAAAGAAGGGCTATGTAATTATTTGTACCATGTAAGAGCTGCATATTTTATTTGGTACTTTGACTACATAGTATCTTTCTACTTTATAAGTTTCATCTGAATATGGCTTTTATTCTAACTAGACCAAAAAGCAGCTAACAGCTACCTTCTTTTGTATTCTATATTTAGCAGAGTGACAGACACATAGTAAGTACTTAATAAACACTTAATTGATCTTTCTTGAAGGAAGGATTCCTATTTTAAGCCAAGTGTTTGATCTTTAATGTTTGGAACATATTCCCTCCAACAGAAAATGAATCAAAACTTTAGAGCTTTTAATCCTAAAGAGGTTCATCTGGTTTAAAAAAAAAAAAAACCTATAGTTCTAGAATAATTCATGAAATATTTATTCTTAGGAAATAGTATTTTTCTGGTTTGTTTACAACACACTAGAAACTATCTTAAGTTAAAAATAGACTAACTTTTTTTTTTGCCTGGCTCTCTCTTAAAATAGGAGAACGACAAACACATTGCAATGAATTACCACACCACCATGATAACTTAAAAATGCTTTGTTCTCATTGTCATCATGAGGTCATTTAAATTTCTTGCCACAGATCATAGTTGTTTATGTTCTAAGTTCTTAAAAATATGCCCATCCCAGAAGTTTCTTGGCAAATGCACAAGAACATTCTTCAGAGACAGTTTTAACTTCATTTGAAAAAAGCCACTATGTGATCAAAAAACTTACAATTGTTTTTAGCTTTGCACAATTTTGTCCTAAATTTTTTAAGTGTATATCTAAGGACTGCTGAATTAAGAATAACATCAATAATCCTACAAATAAGGGAAAAAAACCTATGAATAAAAATGATTCAATTATGATACAGATAATTTAAGCACAATCCATTCAGAGCTATTTTCATGGTTTGCATACATATAATAGTCATAAATATCCTCACAAAATCTACTAACACAAGAGTACACATTCCTCCTGATCCTACTCACAAAATATTTGAAAAGTCTTCAAAGCACAGAACATAAATAATTCATCAAAATTTTGTTGTAAAAACAAAATGCAGATTTTAAGATTTCTGATATAAGCTGAAACCTGGATTTTACCTAAAGGAAGACAAGATTTACTGAGAATATTTACAAACACCTATGGCTCAATCTTTTTTAATATATGCTATAAATCAGAATGTAAACAACCACCACCGCTACCTCCAAAACTCCAAAGTTGGAATTCATTTTGGGTAGAAACTTCACATACCCTGCAGGATACTACTATCAAAGGTACCCCTTCAGTGGGATTTAACTCAGCAGCTTAAGCGCCTGCCTTGCAAGTGCAAGGCTGTGAGTCTGATTCTCTGTACAAAAAAGAAAAAAAAAAAGGCACCCCTTCAAACTAGCCTGTTATTCCCAATGGTGTGGGGACAAGGAAGGTTACATTACTCACGTAACAAGAGTCAAAGTGTACCTGGCCCACATAAGTGAAGGGGTTCTCTGTGGCATTTTCCTACCAAGGTATGATTAGGTTACTATGTATACCTGTTATCCTTAAAATGTATCTGATAGGCCAAATTATTAATCTAATAAGAAAGAAGATTTGAAGTGTTTTGAACTTGGCTCAGGATTTATTTGAATTTCATAACTCTCTCCCGAATTCTTACAATATTGTGCTCTTTGTCCTTAATTTGTCATAGTTTTAAATTTTGTATTTATGGAATTAAAATAATTGTTATTGGCATTAATCACTAGGCTGAAAGCTCCATGAGGGCAAAGGCCACAGCTCATTTGCTTCTGAAGGAAACTCTAGAAGTTAGTGGAAGGCCTGGCACATAAAACGTATCTTATAAATGTCTCTTGTTCAATAAAAGAGCAAATGAAAGGGAAATGAGTCAAATTTGTTTCTACCTGATGGACTAGGAACAACACTGCATGAAATTTTAAAGTAAAATAAAAACTAACCATATGCCGGTGAGAGTGAGGTCGTGAATTCCATCCCCAATACCAGCCCTGCCTCACCCTCCAAAAAAGCAATTGGATATGGCCAATAAATGGTATTTTGCTACATTTAATATTCGTACAATACTATTACATCTACTAGAAGGAAATAATACAGGCAGCTAAAATGAGAATAAGAAGTTATAGATAAATTGGATGATATGGGGCCTCACTGTAATTTCCGCTAATTGGGCAGCTAAGGCAGAAAGATGGCAAATCCTGAGCCAATTTGAGGAACTTACGTCCTGTCTCAAAAATGTTTTTAAAGGGCTGCAAACACAGCTGAATGGCTGAGTATTTGTGTAGTATGTGAGAGGCCCTGGGTTCAATTCCCGTTATTAC